GAGCGCGGGGGAGGGGGAACTCAGAGCGGGGAGAGGGGGAGACACACACACAGTGACACACATTGACACATACACACACACCTCGTGCACTCACACACACACTGACACACAATGACACTCACACACTGACACATACACTGACATATACACACACACCTCTGTGCACTCACACACACTGGCACACACACACACTGACATAGACGCACATACACCCCCTGTGCACTCACACACACACTGACATACACACACAATGACACACACACAGACACACTGACATGCACACTCTGACACATACATAAACACTGACACACCCACCCACCGTGCACTCACACTCACACCCACCCCCCCGTACTAACACATGCTGTGCACCACATGCATTCTTGCACACACACCATGCATGCACATACACAAATGCACACCCTGTGCTCACACATGGACATGCGCTCACTCACACGTGCACTCACACACACAACCTTGCACACTGACACATACCATGCACTCACACACCCTGTGCACTCACACATACACACCTTGCACACTCATTCACCCATCGTGCACTCACACATGCTGTGTGTGCACACCCCCCGACACTGTGCACTCACACCCCACTTGCACTCACACCACCTTGCACACTCACACCCACACACTTTGGACTCACCCTCGCACCTGCACGCACCCCCCCCACATGTACTCATCACACTGTGAACATGCGCCCAGCCCGCAGCCCTCCTGCTACCACCCCGGCTGGCCACTGCAGGAACCACCGATGCTGTCTTCAACCTCTGTACCCTCCCCAAAGAGAAGGGAGAGAGAAAAGGGGAGAGGGACTTACGGGTTGAAAATAAAACTAAACCTACTTTAATGAAATATTAATAATAAAAGGAAAATATAATCATATCGGCAAGAAAATAATGTAATATATACAATATATACAACACCAGTATGGAGCTCCCACAGTGATGGTCACATCGCCAGCAGGCACTGGGAAAATCCTGAACAGGATCTGCTGACAACACTTCTGATGCAGCCCAGGACACCATCCATCTGCCTTGCCCTCCGTGGGGGCACACTGAACTTCTGGCCAATTTGATGTTCACCAGGAAACCCAGGGCCTTTTCTGCAGAGCTGCTTTCCAGCCATGTGGCCCCCAGCATGTCCTGGTGCCTGGGGTTGTTCTTCCCCAGGGGCAAGACTTTGCACTTGCCCTGGTTGAACTTCATAAGGTTCCTGTTGGCCCATTTCTCCAGCCCGTTCAGGTCCCTCTGCATGGATGCACAACCCTCTGGTGTATGAGCCACCCTTCCTAGTTTTGTGTCATCTGTAAGCTTGCTGAAGATGCACTCTGTCCCATCATCCAGGTCAGTAATAAAGATGTGAAACAGGATTGGACCCAGTATTGACCTCTGGGGCACACCACCAGGTACTGGCCTCCAGCTAGACCTTGTGCCACTCACCACCAGCCTCTGGATCCAGCCATTCAGCCAGTTTTCAATCCATCTCAACATCTGTTCATCCAGCCCCGTACATCAACAGCTTCTCTGGGAGGATCTGGTGGGAGATGGTGTCAAAGGCCTTCCTGAAGTCCAGGTAGACAACATCCACTGCTCTCCCCGCATCTGCCAGGACAGTCACTTCATCACAGGAGGTGGTCAGGTTGGCCAAG